AATCATTATATTTTTTATATTTACAAGTACTTATTTATAAATTATTCTGATAAAAATTTTTTTAAATTTTAAAAAAAAATTATTTTATATGTAAAATAATATAAAGAACATTTTTACTTAATAGACAAAATATACTTTGCATAATAAAAAAAATTATAAATTAAAAACTAAATAATTTAAATATTTTTTATAAATTTATAAATTAATAAGAAAAAATATTTAATTAAAATATAATAAATTTATTTTTAAATCTTCGACCTATATTGTTTATTAAGTTTAATAATTACTATACAATTACAACGCAATTACTGTATACTAAGAAATCCAAGTTTCTGTAAAGAACCAAAAACACCAAGTTTTTATTATTACTTTGTATACTTTTAAAAGATATAAATCAAAAATTGCTTATATATAAAACATTTTATTTATATAGATAACAAAATAAAAATTATTTGATATTTTATAATTTATTTAATACTGTACTAGAAATAAAACATTTATTATGTTATATAAATATTAAATAAATGTTTTCATATACGATATTTAAAATATAATCATCAGTATCACTAACGCTAATATAAGCGATAAATATTTATTATAGCATTATAATTAACGATAATGATAAATAAAAAAATATCATTGTAATAACAACTTAATATAGTTTTTTTATTTTTACAGTAAAAACAATCCTTGGTAACAAAAAAGTTATTTTTTCATAATATACTGTATATGTATTTATTTCAATTAAGTATAATTAACTTGTAATGTATCAAGAGTTTTCTTTATCGAAAAGTATCTTAAATCATATTAAGAATTTACTTGAAGTCATTTTAATATAGACAGAATTTAATGCATCATGGATAAATCAATTAAATGACGAAAACGTGAGAATTATTTGACGTACGATGAGATAAGAAAATGTGTTCATGTGATTTAACTATTTATTAAAGAATAAACTTACATAATTCGAAGTTAAAAGTAAAAAAAAAAATTTGTCTTATACAAACTATTATAAAGTTATAGATCATATAAAATGACGGTTAAAAAAGTTACAATAATTAATAACACGTTTTGAAAATATAGCGATAAGACCAAAAGAAAAAAAAAATATTAAATTAAAAAATACTTCTTTTAGAAAATTTGAATAACTAAATAATTCCAGACTCAGTAGTATTTTTAATATGATAGAGTTTTATGAACAGATCAAAGAATGACGGTATAAACTTGTAGACTTGCGATATTGTACATTACTATACTCTTCAATTTTTTTTTTTTTGTTTCTATTTAATAAAATTTTAATAAATTACACTAGTCATTTGTTGTCATATTTTATTATTATAACTTATTATCAGAATCAGAAATAATCTTATATAAATAGGAGCAAAAAATTTTTTAATCAGTTTTTAACTCGCGTTTATTTTTTTTACTATTCATAATTGATTATTGACGCGTTATTCGAATTAAAAGAGCTAAAAGAGTTAAAAGAGCTAAAAGAGCTAAAAGAGTTAAAAGAGCTAAAAGAGCTAAAAGAGTTAAAAGTAGTCTATTCGTGTTTTTTTACCCGTTTTTTTTCATTGTGCAACATTTCTTTTCCCCCAAAAAAGGGAAAAAAAAACATGGAAACCTTTCATGGTAAAGTATATTTAAAGTTTAAATTATCTTTTTGATTTACTGATGAGGAGTTCGTTTATGCCAAAGAAAGTTTAAAGGAGTGGCTTTTGTGACTCTCACGAAAATAAAAAAAAAATCGATAAATAGGATTGATCGAGAATACTAAAGACGCCTTTATCATATTTGGTATGTTTTGATATGTTATATTTAATGTATTTTTTATATGATGCTTTATAATTCTTGTGATTTTTGCGGTGATTTTTAAAGAGAGATATATTTATTTTTATTAAATGTTTATAGAAGCATGTCGGCTTGGAATATTGCAAAAAACATCTAGACGTCCTCTGGAAGAAGAAAGACAAACCCTCGCGCCTGGATCAGTGTAAGAATGAACTAGTTTTTTTGTTTTACTTTAAAATTATCTTATCTTTATCTGGATTTTATTTTTATTAAAAAATTTCATTCCTTTTTTTAAAGGTTCGTGTATGATGAAAATGAAGCCGGAATTAAACGTTGGACCGATGGAAAGTAAGTCAAAGAATAAATAAGATAATAGATAAGATTAATGAATATAATTTAAAAATTAATCTATATATCATATCACGTTATAAGATTATGGTCACCAAGTAGGATTTATGGGGATTTTCTACTTTATCAAGAGCTGGAGTCACGCCTCAATCACATCAAGAAATACGAAGATCTTGATGAAAATATTAGAGAGAGTATTCAAAAAGAAAATAAAAAGTTTCACGTGTCCAACAAAGGCACATTTGTGTATAGTAATGAAGGTTTGGTAAAGAAAACCATTTCAGCAAATGTTGATGGCAATATTCAACATATGATCATATATGAAGACAAGCAAGGTTATTTTCATTTGCATTACATTATTCTTATGCAGCATTTACATCAATTATTATTTTTTTTTAATGTTATTGTTTATATGTTTACTTGAAAAAAAAAACCTTGTAACAGGTCGTCACGATGATTTATATCCACCTCAAGCTTATGTTGAATTATCAAATATTATGCCAAGTCCAGCAATTACGAAAAGCGGAGCTTTACGCAAGACAACTACATCATCCAAAACCGGGAATACCAAATATTCATTGTCAAAAATTCAAGTAGGTATAAAATAAAAATATTGAGAAAAAAAAAATTTTACAAGATAACTAATTTAATGATATTCAATTTAAGGATAACCAATTTAAAGACGACCAATTTAAAGATGACCAATTTAAAGATGATCAATTTAAAGACGATCAATTTAAAGATGATCAATTTAAAGATAACCAATTTAAGGACGAAGAACAAAAAATAATATTCACACTTCCATCAATTTCTTCCAATCCATTCAATACATTTCAATTCCAATCGATTCAGAATTTTTCTGGTAAAACAGATACGTATTCTCCTGTGGTCACGCCGGTTAATGGAGTGTTTGATAATGGAGAACATCAAACTTTTAGAGATATTTTACCAGGAGCGGTATGCTGTCATAATAAGCCTATTATTATGAGGGAACCACTTATTCCTTCATCTTTACCATCACTTCCTGATGTCATCAATCCGCAATACTTTGAAGTGATTGGTTACTCACGATATTAAATGATTGAGAGATTTGATTGTTTGAGTTGAGAAATGAAGGGCTACTCATGATTAATATGATAAATGCAACGAAAATTTTAATAGTAATAATAAATGTATTATATATATGTTTGTATAATCTGAAAGTGAATTGAATATAGATTACATTTGCTGCAATTAATAACAATAATTTTTGTATTTTCTCATAACTGTTGTTAGACTGTAACCTTGTAGCTTTTGCATTATTGACTGTATCAAAATGATTCTATGATTCAATTATTAAATGATTAAATGAATTTAATATGATTTAATGATTAAATGAATTTAATATGATTTAATGATTAAATGAATTTAATATGATTTAATGATTAAATGATAAGTGTTTGCCGAATTTAAATAAAGTTTTTTTATTCCTAAATTACTATATATTAGATTTTCTTTAGATCACTTAATTTAGTTTCAAGAACAATTTCATTATTGTTTTGTAATCGTTTCGTAATCGTTTCATGTCTAATCTTTTTACTTTTGAAACAAGTTATTAAATATCCTGAATAAATAAGCTTTACCAACAAAAATCCATCTTAATTACTTTAAATCACTGTTGAATTTTTTTTTATTTATAGATTTATGATTGTTACATATATAAAAATTGTGTTATGATGTTATAAATAGATAATTTAAATTCAATTAAAGAAAAATTTTATATAGACGGATTATCCGAATCATAAAGTATAAACCATGCGTTCTTTTTATAAAATAGGTTTCCAAGTTAACAATATAATATTGAGATGTAGGTATGTACGTATATATACAGTGCGCAATATACGGTGCGTGTGTTGTATGTACATGCATACTTAACTACTTAACATATATTTAACATATATTTAACTACTTAACATATATTTAACATATATTTAACATATATTTAACATATATTTAACATATACTTAACATATATTTAACATATACTTAATATTTGAAATATTTGAAATATGTTCTTAATGCATAAATTCACTTTTACGTAGTTGTTAACTAAGTTTGGATTACAAAACCACGCATGTCTTTACATACAGTTTTTTCTTTTAATTAATTGAATGAATATAATATGCTTAAAATGCAGATCATAAAAAACAAATCGAAAATATGAAAAAATTTTCATAACGATATATATTTACTTGTTTTCTAAAAATGTTTAATGATTCTTTATTGCTTTTATTGAGCCGCAAAATTTAAGTGTTACACGAACTGATACGTACAACACGGAATTTTAGATTAAACGTCACATTGTAGCCGAGGGTTACCATACTCGTATAACGGAAGAAAGGTATTTACTTTAAAATACAGAGTTAGTGCTGAAGTGATGATTATGATCTACATGATCTACGTTGTTCTAAATCTGAATCTTTTTTAAGAAAATAAGTTCTTTATACGCACACGAATATCAGATTTACTAGCATAAGAATTATAAAGAGTATGTGTGGTTTTAGTAGATATATATATTCAAATAAAAATCAACTTTAGTTACCTTTAGTCAACTTTAGTTACCTTTAGTCAACTTTATTCAACTTTAGTCAATTTCAGTTTTAGCTACCAACTATGAAGAATATAGGATTGCGTGACATTTCGAGAAAACTTGTACAGTATGGTCACGAATTATTTCAAAAAAAGTTTTTTAAAACTTTATTATGAACTCTTCCTCTCTCTAATGCTTCTGTTTCTGCTTCTGTTTCAATGTTGACCATTTTAAGTCATATCCAACTTATAGCGTAATGATAAACATAAGGTTATAGGCTAAAGATGCAGATCATCTCTAAAGGGATGTATGATTATTTAAATTTAAATTTAACTATATAATATTAATATGTATGCGTGCGTATATTGTATGCAAATAATTACGTATATGAAAAGAATAATCTTAAAATGAAGATGGTTTAGATCAAAAATTACACATAGGTTTGAATGGTTACTAAATTGAAAACGCGTAGTTATTCGTGTAGTTTGAGTAGGACATTGATACTATTGACAAAATGATATTTATTGGTCTCACATACTATATTACTATTTTTAACAGACTTATCGACATACAATACAATGTTTTGATCACTTGTTAAAAATTTTTAAAAATTGAATAAGTTTAAAATTAAATAATAGCACTTTGAATGAATAATTGTGATAATTATATTTTTTTTCTTTAATGATAGTTCTTTTTTTGTATTTTTATTCTTAGATCGCGTAATATTTACATGTACATTCATTACATTCGACTTCGTATGTATAGTACATTCGAAGAAGAAAAATGACACACAACATTTATACAACATCGGGAAAAAGCGACAGTGAATTATAGAACTTGTGTACTGTAACTTAAATACCTTATTTATGTTTTATATGTTTTATATGCTAACATAAATCTTAACAATAACATATTGATAATATATATCGATAATATATATCGATAATATATCGTAATAAGTTGATAATATAAAGTAATGATCAGAGGGGAAAAATCGACAAACATTGCATAAATTATAGATTAAAGTACACGGAGTATTCCGAAGTCAAAAAACTTTTATTGTTCCAAATTGGTAAGAAGTTCGGCCGAAGTTAAAATTAAATTTGATAACACAAGAAAGAAAAAGATGCATAAAAATTAAGTGTTTTTTTTTTAAATGTTTAAGAGATTTTAATGAATGACCTGTTATCCTAATTTGTATATCTCTTTAACACATTTCATTATCACACGGATGCATTAAAGAATGCTAATTGGCAAACAAACTACTTTTCAAAAAAATAATTAATTAAATTATTGTTTTCTAGCTTTGGCATTTATTATGAACTATGGTGTAGAATGATATAGAAGAGAGTGTTTCTTCCATCTTTGATCGCTGTTGCATATACACAATGGTATATGTTTTAATGGATGCATGCGAACCATTCATTGTTATTGTACTATATCCGCGTATATTATACAAATCATATCAATTATACAAATTATACGAATCATATCAATCATATAAATCATATAAATCAATCAAACAAATCACATAAATCATATACAAATCGTGATAGGTAGAAAAAAGAACGGTACAAGTTTACTATAGTCTATCATTAAGGCGTTTGCAAATTACACCAAATTTGAATCTTTACTCTTACTCCGATTTTTTTTATCATGATATCATGATTGATGAAAAAAAATTTTTTTTAAACACATGATATAAACAGCTGTCATACAATTTATGAACTACGTATTTCGTGAATATAAAAAAATTCAGAATCATTAGTGTAAATGAAAATACGCATTTGTAGATAGGTACGTACTTACTACATAGGAGTGTAAAGTAACGTGTTTGAAACTATTTTTCCTACATAAATAACATACATATTATACATAACATACATAACATACATATTATACATAATATACATATACATAACATACATAACATACATAACATAATATATACTATACAAACTATACACTATACTACGTATACATATTATACATATCAATACCAATAACAATAAACGATAGGTTTTTACGTTCAGTCAGTCACACATGCATAAATTCAAAGATGAATTTAAAGATGATTGGATTAAGATAATGTTTTATTTTTAACGATTGATGATAGAACTTAACTGAAAAAGGAAAACATAAAAGAAAAAAAAAATCATCGATCAAATTCATCATGAAGATAAATATAAACAAAAATATTCCAGGATTTTTAAGTGGCTCAAACTATAAACAGATACTTAATAACAGATACTATAACAGACGGACTATAAACAGATACACTGTATAACATGTATAAAAAAATTGTAAGACAGAATATATAACACACAGTTGATTAAAAATGCAAAGTGTCGTCATAAGTTTATTGTTTTTTTAAAAAATATTTTCTTCATGGAACATTTGCACGAGGGTCTAAATAATAAGGTAGGTTATGTATCGGTATGTATTACCTATAATGTTAAGACCAACTTGTAATAAAAAAAAAAATTCCGATGAGTCATTTTAACTATAAAACGAACGCTTAATTAATTTTCCGACAAACATCAGATAAACCATAATTAGCAATATATTATATCAAATATAGAAATGGTGATGTAAATATGTACGTAGTATATTCAGTATTGGTAGTATATTAGTAGTACATTGGTAACAGTATATTATTAGTTAGTGGTAAATATAACAATAAATATAATAAATAATAAATATAATAAATATAAAATAATAAATATAAAAATAATAATAAAATAGATAACCATAAAATATTAAATACCGATACAAAAGTTAAAAACATAAATTTATTTAACACAATATAGTTGCCATGTACAGAATGTTTAATTTTGCATTTACACAAGAATGGCTAACTATAATTATAGAAAGGAATCTATTCTCCGGAAAATGATCATGATTAGCGGGTAAACAATTTAAACAATTTCCGAATGATTTTTTATTAATATATACAATAATATATTCCAACGGGGAGATATTACGGGGAATACTACGGAGAGATAGTTACTACGTATGAATACATACGAGTACGTATGAGTACTCTGGGGATATATTTTAGTTTTATTAAAATTATGAAATCAGGGTACATTTACACTGCATGGATTAAATTCTTTTTATTATCATCACGAGGCTTTTTTTATTTTGATAAAATTAGAAACCGGAATTTTTATAATGATTTAAAGTACGTACTTAAGTATCTGAATATATATCATATATATATTATATATATATCATATATATCATATATATCATATATATTATACTGTATTGTAAAAAATGCATTCTCCGCATTAAAAAAAAAAAAAAAAAAAGAATTGATCAACTGATCCACCATTGTCCTTACACCGGAAAATTATTATGAAGAATATCAAATTCTTTATTCTAATAAGAAAAAGGATTTTTCATAAAGAAAAAGAAATTTTTATTTGTTTAAAATAGTCAAGAACAATCAAGAACCAAAGAATGTTACTGACAAGTAATGAGTAGTGAATAATGAATAGTGAGTTGAATAGTGAGTTGAATAGTGAGTTGAATAGCTAGGTGAATAAATATATACAGTATACAGGTAGGTATATACCCACAAAAGATATATAGAATACATACGAAACATAGAATACATAATAAGATACATCAAATGCATAAAATATACATAACAAATGGATTGATTTGTAGATATCAGATCATCTTGTTAGACACATTTCGTCATTGATGATTCGGTGGAAAACCCGATGATCGACATTATTTACGTCACATGAAACCATTTATATAAAATAGTTCTTTGTCCTATTCATTAGTGATCTTAATCAAACAGGTCATATGAACTTGTCATGAGAAATTAAGTGTTTGTATCTCATGTTATTTGACACATGGCGCATTCATGGCAGTTCTGTTTTTTTTTTCATGTATGTACTACTTGAACACCAACCTTCATTCGCATTATCAACTAATTGCCTAATTTGTACTATGCATATCATTAAAGTGTCGATTTTTGGTTAATTTTCGGTAATTGACGACGAATATCAATACAGTATCATTTGTTTCTTTTACATATGTATTATAAAAGTGTTTAAAGTGTGTTAGTGTTAAAAGTATGTTAAAAAGTGTGTAAAGTGTATAAAGCGTGTTAAAGTGTGTTAATTAAAGCGTATAAAGTGTGTAAAAGTGTGTAAAGTGTGTTAAAATGTATGAAGTGTGTTAAAATGTATAAAGTGTGTAAAGTATAATCCTTTAATTAAAGCTATCTCGCTAGGTTCTTTGTTTAATAATATTCACAACATTTGCGTGTATTTATTTATGATAACAGATTATCGTTATATACGGATGCTATTTTGTGTATTTAATTAAATGATACTAACACTACTAATACTATACTACACTATACTAATACTATACTAACGTTATACTAACACTATACTACACTATACTAACACTATACTAACACTATACTAACGCTATACTAATACTATACTGTACACAAAATTGCGGACGGAAATTCTTTTAAACTATCATATTGAAAATCCTATTATTCGACCAATGATCAGGATAGAAAAAAAAGATAAAAAAGTAATTGACGTAAAGTAAACGACAGAATAATTAGTTTAAATAATTAGCATATAAGTAATTGACACTGAAAATCTTTAAAGAAAGTATCCTATTTTTCATTGTAGAAAAAAAGTTTAATTCTTTTTTTGTCAATCATTTCAATCATCATCATTCAAATCATTAGAAAATTCTATATAGATATCAAAAAAAGTATTTTACTTACGTAGATCTAATAACCTGTGGATACTGTGAATACCGATATCAAGACTAAGTGGGCGGTGCATACCGATAAATTGTAAGTAAAAAAAAAAAAAAAAAAAAGTTAGTTAGTTAGCTAATTTTAGTTACTTTTAGCCGAAATATTGATTATCTGCAAATACTTTGTAACCGTTATACATGCTAAATTTTTATACTAAATTTGTATGTATATCTAAATTGGTACACATTCATTTATACACATCATTTATCGTTATAATTAATGATAATATCATTTTTTACATCAAGTACTGTGTTATTCTTTATAAAAATTTAATATTTTAAAGCTTTTAAATAAACCTAATCAAAATTATAGTAATTGCAACAATTTTATTAATTTTAATAATTTTAATAACTTTAGTAACTTTAGTAACTTTAGTAATTTTGGTAATTTTGGGTAATTTTGGTAATTTTAGTAATTTTAGTAATTGTAGTAATTGTAATAGTGAGAATAGAATTATAGAATTTAATAAATATCAAATAACATAACAGTAGCAAATACCAATAATATAACAGTAATAAATATCAGTAACATAACAGTAACATAACAGTAGCATAACAGTAACGTAAATCACATGTTAATAACTTTTTCAATATTAACCAATTCGGAAAAACTCGGCTAGCATGGTAAAAAAATTTATACACAAAAGATTTATATTTCTTTGTTCTTATTTGTTTGTTTATCATTATTTTAATGAATATGTTCCAAGTCCACTATTACTTGAATGAAATTTTCGAAAATTCATGCACTTTAATGGTCTCATATGTTTAAATGAAAAGTAATTTTACTGAAACTGTTAAACTGTTTGAAAGAAATTCGAAACTCCTACTTTTTAAATGCACGAATGTATTTGATGCTAGGATAAATTACATTATAAAATATCTTCTAAACTCGGATTGGTTTTCATCTTCTTGACTGGATTAACGCTATAATAATACACTACATTACTATAAAACGATAAAACGATAAAGCGATAAAACGATAAAACGATAAAATGATAAAATGATAAAATACACTACATTACGATAAAACGACTGCACCAATATACTACACTAGCACACCAGTACACCACACTAGTACACGACACACTAGTAGCACGTTTAATATGTATTATATGAACAAAGAACCTTTAAAACAAAGTTATGTGTAACAGGAAAATATATAACCTCACTTCAATTACATTCAATTAAATTCAATTACTTCAAATTTTACTTCAAATTACATTTAATTACACTGCAATTACACTCAATTACACTCAATTACACTGCAATTACACTCAATTACACTGCAATTACATTAAATTACATTCAACTAAATACTGCAATTACATTCAATTACATTCATTTTCGGAGCTTTATCTAAACCAGGATGTCAATCCGAAGATGGTTAATTCGAAGGGGTCTGCCGATTAAAAAAAAAATTGTGTTATGACAATCTGAGTTCGCATTTAATTAAAATAGGAAAAGTTTTACTGCGACATTTATCATGCCATTAATTTATGTTTACATTCATTGTTAATCTGAAAAAAAAAAAAATTATAATTCGATTCAATTCGATTCAACTCAATTCAATTCAATTTTTTATTTTTATAATACATATTTCCTATTTTATTATATACAAAAATATATATATATATACCAGGGACTAGTAAATCCGACTTTATTTTTTAATGCTCGGAATTTTCGGGAACTCAAGAATATTCTATTAGATTTAATGTCCGTATAAATACATAAATATATCTAATGTATATACATATATGAATGTAAATATATATTTATATTTACTGTATAAATATAACTTCTTTTACTGTATATATATGTATATATGTATGATATGGATGTACAGTATCAGTACGTATGTTCATACATACGTGCGTACTTATGTACACAAGTATTTATGTTATACAATACAATAGTTGAGATATACACGATATACATATATCGGTCAATTATTTATCCCATTATCATCACTGATTTTTTTTTATAAAAACTAGATGTTTTTTATTTCTTCGTTGTAATTCTTTTTTTTCTTTTTTTTTTTTAATTTTAAAAAAATTAAAAAAATATCTTTTTTTTTTTTTTTTTAAAAAAAAAAAAATCAATTCACTAAACTTTAACATTAAACTTTAAACACTAAACTTTAACACTAAATTAAATTTTGCCACTAAATTTTACCACTAAATTTTACCACTAAATTTTTAACACTAAACTTTAAACTAAACTTTGACAATAATAACTAATCTTTATTAACAATTAACCTTTTAACTTTTATAAAAAAAATGAATGACACTAGTGAAGAAATGTTGAAAAGAAAATTAAATGCCTTAACCGGTCACGACATTAATAATGAAAATTCCAAGAATTTAAAACGAAATTGTTCAACAAATGAACAATATTTATTAAATGGTCTTGAAGATTTTGATTTTAATGAAGATGATGAAGATGTTGATAATGTAGATGATATAACATCTGATCAAAATCAAAAAGACCAAGAAACTCAACAACTAACACCACCTCAAAGGAAAAAACCTGGTCGTAAACCTAATCCAGCATCACCTGAATTACGCAAGAGTCAAAATCGAGCCGCTCAAAGAGCATTTAGAGAAAGAAAAGAACGTCATTTAAAAGATTTAGAAAATACAATCAAATCATTAAGAGAAAGTCAATATGAATCAGCCGTTAAAGCTTATCGTGAAGGTCAACAATTACGTTCGTTGATCGAACGTCTTCGAAATGAAAATCTTTATTTGAAACAAGTTTCTGTCAATTTTGAAATGGTTCTTAATCATATTTATGGAGGAAATGATACAACTTCAAAAATCAAGAATACTATATTATCTCGTATTCAATCTCTTTCACCAACCTTAAACTTTACCGCTCCTTTATTGGATAATCAAGTATCACCTATTCCTATTGAGATGGGTAGATCTTTACAATCATTTAATAATTTAATGAATAATAATAATTTGAGCGGAGTAAATTCATTTATATCACCGCCAAATAGTACTATCTCTTTATCACCAGAATCTTCAGTAACGAAAAGCCCACCTATTTCACCTAATTTGATTGATAAGGTCATCCATCAAAATTTGGAAACTTTGGAAAATTTGGAAAATCTGGAGAATTTGGATTTGGAACGGTCCACAACGAGCACTATCCAAAATTTACCAAACATACCAAACATACCAAACATACCAAATGAAACATTTATTGATGGTTCGGAACTTTCAAAAACTTTCGTTCTACCAAAGTCTAACGACATTTTGATAAATAATGACTCATTTACTACCACATCTGATCTTGTTGTTCAGAATCCTGATTCACTTTCGGAATCAATATTTAGTGAAAATTATGAAATATTCTCACCTAACGTTGATGAAACAAGAGATATTTACTCCGATTTCAACCTAAATAATATCGTCCTTTCAAATTCAGAAATATCAAGTGATTTATTTAAAGAACTTGACCAAGCAGTTCGACTAGGGAAATTAGTTGGAATAAACGATATTTATAATTCACCAGTTACTCCAAAATTACGATATCCTCTTACCAATGCACAAATTCAATATTTAGCTTTACCACATGATAGACGAATTGATTTAATTCCATGTCTTCATTTAAGATCTAGAATGATTCAATATCAAAATAATTATGATCTTTATGATTTAATTGAATTATTAATTACAAAATCTAAATGTCATGGAGATCCATTAGATCCAGATTCATGGGAATTACCTGAAGATTTTTTTACAAAATATGAATACTTGGTATTTCCACATTGTAGGCTTAAGAGTTCATTATATCAAACTTATGGTCGATTACCAAGTGATTTTGCAAATTCATATCAATCAATGCTTTTACGAAAAATTAATACTACTACTTGATTTAAATTAAATCGAATTATTAGAATTGATTGAAAGAGAAAGTAGGTTTCCTTAAATTAATCATAATACATTTTTCATTTTATTTTTATTTTTTTTTTTGTACATAATATTAAATAGGATTGTACCTAAACTTTACATAAACAGTATACGTTCATTTACATATCACTTGTTTCACTTGTTTTCGGAAGGTCTTTTTTTTTTTCTCTCTCATTTACTTTGCATACTCTCTTTTTTCACTAAATACTTAAACATTTACAAAATATAACTTTTTGCTACATATTTTTGTTGGACACTTATATTTTATTTATTCAACGAATTTTTCAATGAATTATTCAATGAATTATTTAACGATGAATAGATATTTCTTTGAAATTTTGTATATATATATTTTTTGATTTATTATTCATTATTATTTTAAATTTTTTTTTTCAATTGTTACTTTTAATCTTTAGTCTGAACGATGATGACTAAACAAAAAAAATAAATAAAAAAAATAGGATTATTTAATAAAAAAAAAAAAATTAACAATTTTTTTTTGTCATTTTCATATTTTTCATGAGACACGACTAGATGATAATAACGTTAATACACGTCACTTTGGTTGTATATATCGATGTACTTCATATTGCAATATATTGTATGAGATTAAACCGACATCCGGATATATCGGACATTTCTTTGTTTTTGGAAAATGTCGATGTAAACGAGTACATAAAATATATATAACATATATATAACATATATTAACAACGTTTGTAAAATTTACAATAGAAAATCTTATGACATTTACATATAAAAATTTGGGTTTCTAAACATCATGATATTCAATATCAATATAATATCGATATTGTTTTAAAAATAATTATGTTCACACAAAGTTACAATCAAAAAGAGATATAACGGCCGAGCCATATGCAGTACGTATCGGTTTTTCTTTGTTTCTAGAAATCCAAAATTAGTTACGAAAAAAAATTTAATAGTTAATAAGTCGGCGTTTACGGAACAGCAACGGTAATGGCCGACTTTCAGCAATTGAAAATCCTTCATCTTTAATTTCTAAGTCGCCACATGTTGCAAGATCCCTCATTTTGAGAAAATCCCTCATTTTGAAAGATATACTGTTATACTATTACACTGTTATATTAATCGTCAAATTATTTAAATCAAATTCTTTTTTTAATAAAGTAACGATAACAAAAAAAAATTAACAAAAAAAAAAAAATAAAGAAATTAGAACAAAGATAAACAAAGAAATTCTTGTTGCATTACCTGTAAGGGATTCGAGAAACGTACCATTTTTAAACAAACATTGAAAGATATGGTATTTTGTGCATTTGTGTTAGATTTTGTTTCAGGAGTCATTGTTCTTTTTTTTGTTCTATACGCAGATCTCATATGCACGTATTACCACGTTTGTTTTAAATTAAATTATAAGGTTCAAGAATGTTTGATCATGCGACCTTTTTTTTTTTAAAAAAAAAAAAAAAATCTTTGTGTGTACAATCATATACATCCAATCAAAATTTTTTGCATGTTGTACATACCTAAAATGATTTGGCTTCTCCACCACTTTAATTAATACATTCTTGATCTAGTCTTTCTTGTTGATTTCTCTTTTGATGATCTATTATTATTAAACATAACTATAATGTAGTTATAAAGGTAGTTTTAAAGTAGTTATAAGGTAGCTAATATAATTATAACGTACCTATAACGTACTTATAACGTACCTATAACGTAACTATAACGTAATTATAACGTAACATAGTTGGTGAAAGAACTGAATCTCATTATATGTATGTAATTCTCTGTGACACCATTTTGTACCCAATTTCTTTGTTAACTTTCTTTGTGGTTTTTATTTGTGTTGAATTAAATAAATGATTCAATTAATGACGCGTGAAGAATGGGAATCCTGAAACCCAGGAAAAAAAAATTTTTTTTTCTTATGATAAATATGATAAGGTACACAAGGTTTTATTTTTATCGCAATAGAGCAATAGTTTAGAATTCATTTTCTTTCATTCTTTTTATATAATTAAAAAACTATTCCGAATATGAATTTATAAACGATGACGACGATAAATAATAGATGATAATAGATGCTTATCTTTGCCGTTTAAAAGGGGCCATAATTCTGTAAATCAAAAAATCTCCTCACAATTAAGAACCAATCATACTATAAAATAATATTTTTAATATGATTGGTTCAAAAGTTAGTATCGTGACACAAATAAACGTACTAAGAAATTTAAAGTTATTTTGTACGTGTGAATAATCTTAAACGGAGTAGTTTGATGCCACGAATTTCTTAGATTCTAAAACAAGACTTCAAAAAGGTACGTTCACAATTACTTGAGTATTCAACTTTGTCGTATTACTGAGATTTATTGTTAATATTTTAATATAAAATCAAAATTTCTGTTATCTAGTTGTATGAAGGATAAAATTCCTCGCGTATTTGGTTTATCCATGGATTATGTACGTACGTACGTACGTACGTACATAAGTACACAAAAGTACATAATAATTGTTTTTATATCACCTGGCACATTTCTGCATTTAAAGAAATTAATTAATTTATATGCGTTATTACATTACAAACATTAAATCATGCATTATGTTTTTTTGACACTGCTTGGACCACTTTTCACCGGGGAGTTTTATTTTTTTTTTTGTTTATAATTTAATAATTAATTATATATTTTAGAAAAAAAAACTACGTCAGATAAATTCTTACGGACAACTCCGCGAGATTTACGGAATATCTGATCTACGTGCGTACGCACGCACGTATGTACATACGTACATAAACGTACGTATCTGATACATATATGACGTATATTACTCTCAATAAAACCTTAATTAGAAACTGATACTTAGAATTTTTTATTCCTTGATCTTTGATCTAAATTGAAATTTTTTTTCACATTTAAATTCGGGGGTTAATCAAATTCAGGAGTTATCGTTGACTACGCCACAGATCTGTTGATCTGTTCGCTGCTTTCTTAATCCCCGAATCTGCTGATCTCTTCGCTTCTTCTTACCTATTTATATTTATATGTAGACCGGAAAAAGTTTAATTCCGAAAATGAAATGTTTATCCATATTCCATTTACCGTTAATTGGATTTATTTAAAATTAATTAGACAAATAAAAAATCAAAAAAAAAGTTTTGAAAAAGTGTACAGTTTTTTTTTTTTTAATTAAATTAAAACTGAGGCTTAAATCAAGTTTTTTTTTTTTTTATAAATTAATACTTTTATGGGGATTAATCAAAACTTTTTTACTGTAATTTTATATACTATATATATATACTGTATATATAAAATATAAAGTAGAAAAAAGGTCTCAATTTCTTTCATCAAATGAGCTAAATCATTGATCCGAATTAAAAAAAAACACTCGTATGATCATTATGATCTACTATCAAATAGTTATTGTAGTCGATTTGGCGTTAGCCGATAAAATCGACTTAGCCGACTTAGGATGCATCGGAAGATTTTTAGAAAAACTGTTATCTTATAATATAAAGTTGACTGAGAAAATCAGAGCATGTCCGATTTTATATACAAAAGATTATCTTTCGCTTTCAGCCTATTAAGCTATTTCTCACTATTACTTGAAAATTTTTGTTTCTCTAAATTAATAAATAGGAAATTGGTACATACGTACATCACAAGTATGAATGAGTACTTGCTAACCAATTTGATATCACTTTTTTTTTTTATTATAAATAGTAAAAGTGCCAAGCAGAACAAATGTCTTTGAAATAAAATATATCATTCATACAACCTTATTATGGTAATTTACTGTATATATACGTACACTTGTATGTATTTACTGTATATACAGTATAGACGATGATCTATGTATTTTTTTTCTAGATTGCTTAAAGGTCACAGACTGCGTCCGTTAAATTAAAATATTTGTTTTATTTTTTATTTTTTTTGACTTTAACTTAATATACCATAGGACTCCAGTGGCGTACTTTAATTTTTAAATATGTAAAAATTATTATAAACTTGCATAAACAAATAAAAAATAGTTATCTGAATAATTCATTACATTTACCGTAAATGTACAAATAGATATCTTAATATATATAGAACTAGAGGTTCATTTATAATTTAACACACGATTATACTGTATCCAAAGTCAGGTCAAGTTAGATGTTACTTAACACTAAACTACAGAATCTATATACAGTATTTCAGTATTTCCTGAACTTTAATACGAATATTGACACTCATTTCGTAGACATAACATTTCATCAACAATAATTCACCGACAAAATAATTCTGGTCATTGTCGTTAAGGTCAGGTTAGAATTAAAGTTTAAGGTTAATAGAATTTATATAAATAAAAAAAAAGCTTGTATGTGAAATGAGCTTCGGTGAAATAAACTGTCAGTGAATTGTTGTAGGTGAAATGTTATTTCTACGAAATGAGTGCCAGTAAATTCGAATCTTGATAAGTAAAATAATATAATTACTTTTATACTGTTTTAGATAGAAATTTGAAAAGAATTATCTATTTAATTTTATAGCATAACATTTTAAAAATTTTTACTAAGTATAAGGTTAAATCTAATACAAATCAAATATATGTATATCAAAAATAATGATTTGTTTACTACTCAACTTATATCTAATAAAAACTATTTGAATTTTTTTTAATAAATAAAATCTGTAGTTGATTTGTAGGTATAACATCTAGTATAAAACCTGTATAGTAATGTATAGGTGAATTATTTAAATTAAACACCAAAAGTTTATATGTAGTTAGTTGTAATCTTCTATGTAAAGGAACTTCTAAAAATTTCTGTATTTATAATAACTTGAATAAAAGTCGCTTCCTAAAAACAAGAATTTTAATACAAATATATATATATATATATATATATTAAATAAAAAAACAATACAAAAAACTTATAAAATTTTATAAAATATGATATAAAAAATATAAATAAACAGAGGTATGATGATCTAATAAAGTAG